CGACGTAAAACGGGGCGATGAAGAGTTTTCTATTTTTCACTTGTGACTCTTCTGCTCCTCCTGTGGACTACCAGCGCACTTACACTCCAGCATAATCGGAGTGACCTTGTTTTCAAAAGGAAAGGTGCTCTGGAACACTGAACATGCATGTGTCGTCTATGCTTTTACGATTACTTTAATTTTTCTAAGAACATAAATCTTAACAGAACTAACATAGATCGTTTGCAACTAACACGAACTTAGACGCATTTTACAGTTACGACTGGTTATTCCGTATTTAGAATATTAATACAACATTTGATTGTGAATAATTCACATTTAATCATTGTACGTTCTACATTGTTACATGTTGTTTTATTAATGTTGTGTTTGTGTCTTAAAATACAAACTATAGTTTACCGTCTTATTAAAATATTTTCGTTATAATCAAAATGTGGATATTTTGCATTCAATCTGAAACATAACAATTAGTAATACAATATATAATGCATAACAATTCTTAACGATGTATAACTATCCACTATACAAAATTTTAAATGTCAATAAAAGCCTGTTTCTTACAGTTTTCCTCGAACTTTAGTTAAAAAATGATCAACTAAAACAGTATGACACTGAAGAGTACTGAACAGTACTACATTTCACGGTAACACGTTACTTTCAACAAATATAAGCGTGCGATTAGCGTTTAAAATGTATATTCTATAATTTTGTCCCGTTAAATCCCACAATAAACCAGATACTTCTGTCTATCGGGTAGATCTCAACCGATCTTGATATGGGAAGTCATATCTCTTGAGTTTACAGCTGTGGGGAGTGGCGATTGACGTTTACTGTAACCAATGAAAAGTAGCTGTCTTGATTTTACCCATAGATTCTACAAAGAAAAACATTGACTCAGAATTTCATAAGCATCCTTGTGCGGTCGGTTGCGACAGGTGGTCTGTTTTAGGTAGCTGATATCACCCCTTTTACAAAAAAAATTAAAAGCATACTCTTGTAAATACTTCACTAGTTAGTTGAGGTTTTCTCTGCTTTGATCATGGTGAAAAATTAACTGTGACCTTCGTTTCGAAGGTATTGAAACAGTTCTGGTCATGTTTATATACTTAAGTTATGAAGTAAGGACTTTGCTTGACTGAGTGCATTCGTCTCATTTACAGGGCAGCAGAAAGACATCACGAAATATCTTCTGTGGGTATAATTAATGCGACACACCGTGTACTATCAGGTTTTGTGAGACAAAAAAAAACCCTCTTGAGTCTTTGCACATGTGAATACCAAGATCACTGAATTAGCCTGACAGGCTAGTTACATTATAGACATACTAAACACATGAATACATGTTTACATGTATGCAGGTCTTCCTATGCTAACA